GTATAACTGTACAATGTAATAAACAATCGGCAGTTGGCTACTCGTTATTCGATCGCTCCGTGTAATTGATTGATTGTTGAAATCTAGATTAGTTCATACTGTACTGCATTATGTCTTCATATATAGCTGATCATATTATCCTTTCAGCTTGCCCTTCTACAGATTATGAAAATTTTCTACTTAATGCTTCTTAGCGGGTGTCTAATCCACCCTTCATAGCACAATATAACTCGCTGTCTCTTCATCCGATTCTTGTCTTCACCCTCAAACCGACTCCAACCGTAACATACACTTCCCTCACTTTTATTACTGAGAAGGTACCCAAAAGGTAAGGTAACAATTTCCCAGGGTAGAATATAATTATACACATTTTTTTGTAACCTATAAATAATAACACCAACCCCTCCGTTGATCCTGCTCAACACTCTTCTTCGAAAAACAAACTATTTCAACCAGGTATTGCAATTCGCATTCATCAGGCATGTATTGAAGATCCACCAGAGATACGGAGAGAAGCAAAAGTTTGGTGGGAAATTTGATGTGAGGAATAATATATTTTAGTTTAGATGATTTGATAAAAAGCAATTTACTTGATAGCGTCCTCGGCATCTTTACTACAAAACTCCATTAACATCCCTTTTTGATTTCGACAGCTATACAACATCTCCCTACATACTCAGCACGTAAGTATTCGAACGACATCTCAAATCACAGGCATGTACTTGTGATACCAACATATAACAAAATTTTTTGATCCCGACATTAGAATGAACATTATGGCGATGCTAAATCCTATTCAAGAAATAACTCCTAGAGAAAAGGCAGCACAAGAAGCACGCCGGATACTGCGTCTATTCAGATGCTCAATGTGCTGCAAGTTTCTAAACGATCCGATAACGTTATCGTGCGGGACTTCCTATTGTCGACAATGTCTCAAAACTCGAGCCATACACACATCATACACATCAGCAACCGCTCTAAGATTCACCTGCCCTATAAACACACCCAACTGTCGACACAACCATCCTCATCTACTTGGAGATCTAAAGGGAGACGTCACCCTCCACAACCTAACTGACATTTGTCGGAAATTGGTTTCCGAATATTTCCCATCACTCATTGAAGACGATCGCGAAGATGATGACGACAAGGATGATGATGACGACGACGACGACTACGACAGAGATTTTCGAGTACTAGGAGCCTACATGAAAAGTAATTCTGACGACGAGCTGCCCATAGCAAGACCGTCAGAGTATGGATGGAATATATCACCGGAAGTATTTAACACTCTCAAAAACTTAATGTTACCCGAATTAGATTGTAAAGTCTGCACCGAAATATTTATAGATCCAATAACAACACCATGCGGACATACGTTTTGCAAATCGTGTATAACACGCTCACTTGATCATAGCGACAAATGCCCACTATGTCGACATCCGCTAACGAACTATGCGTTCTTTCAACATCATCCGATAAACAAGCCAATACACAACCTCTTGCAAAGCTTTTATACTGAATTATACAAACAACGGCAGACTGCATTAGAACACGAATTATATCATAATATGCAAGAAACGCCAATATTCGTGTGTTCTCTAGTCTTTCCGCGAATGCCTTGCTTTATCCATGTATTCGAACCACGATACCGTCTCATGATACGTCGATGTTTGGAATCACGTCAACGTCGGTTCGGTATGGTTCTTCCCGATCGCAACGGCCAAGGATATTGCGACTACGGGACGATGCTTGAAATCAGATCGATTGAATTCCTACCTGATGGCCGTTCGCTCATCGAAACCATCGGTTCATACCGGTTTCGTGTGATTGAGCGTGGGATGCGTGACGGATATCATGTTGGAAAGATCGAACGCATAGACGACCTAGATCCCGAGGAAGAAGAAGAATTAGAACGCAAGGCAATTGCAAGGGCACAGTTGAACAACGCCAATCCTAATAACCCCCGCATAGAAGAACCGACTACAGCCGAGCTGATTGCTACCGCACGCGAGTTCATCGAATCTCTCAGGAACGGATCCGCGTGGATATTACAACGTTTGAACTCTACATATGGCGAGATGCCTGATAGTCCGGCTGGTTTTTCTTTCTGGGTTGCTACCGTAATACCAATAGACCCGTTTGAGAAATCCAAGCTTCTCGAAATTAGGTCGGTGCGAGAGAGGTTAAAGTTGATCAATTGTTGGATTAATCAGATGAGAAGACAATGGTGGTTTGCTAGGGGAGGATGTACGATTTCATAGTGGACAATAATATGCATGCCCAAAACATTGGACATTTTTGATCGAGTTGAAGTTCATACACGTCTAGTAGTTTTACTGGCGGAGACTTTTGCGACGCGTTATACAGACAATTTACGAGGGTTCACGTTGAAATTTTTATTCCAAAAAAAAAAAGTATTATTATCCTTCGTGAATCCTCTATGATTATGTTGATAAAAATTTAAAATTTAATGCTTTATTTCTATGCCGTTTTTTCTCAGAGTTCAGGCTCTTTTTTTTTTTGCCTAACAACTCTTGGCTAATACTACAATAATTTTCCAGTGGCGCCCTTGACGTTAGTACTCTCAAATCAACATTGAACGTCTTTAATAAGATTATTAGTTTAGTAAGACATACACTTACTATTACTATTAAATCAAAAATAA